TGACTTTGCTTTGTCTCCTTTTGTCTCCCCTTGTCTCCCATGGCGTGTCTGGATTTTGTTTTGTCTCCCTTTGTCTCCCTTTGTCTCCCCTTGCCTCCCTTTGTTTCCCATGCCATGTCTGTATATGTCTGTATGCTGGGAGATTTGGCGCCAGGAATGGATCGCCAAAAAAGAAAACTCCGACTGCCACTGCTGTTTGGGGTCGATTCTGGTGTAATTTCTTTTTCCCCAGATGGGTTCTTACTTCTCAATGGATTGGTTCCGGATTGCGGAAATTGGCTGCCGCTGCCGCCTTGTTTCCCAAGCTTGTCTCCCTTCATGACTTCGCTTTTGGCTGCCACTGCCGGCTTGTCTCCCAAGCTTGTCCGCCTTGTCTCCCCAAGCTTGTCTCCCTTCCTGATTTCGCTCTTGGCTGCCGCTGCCACCTTGTCTCCCAAGCTTGTCTCCCTTCATGATTTCACTTTTGGCTGCTGCTGCCGTCTTGTCGCTCAAGCTTGTCTCCCTTCATGATTTCGCTCTTGGCTGCCGCTGCCGTCTTGTTTCTCAAGTTTGTCTCCCTTCATAACTGCGCTCTTGGCTGCCGCTGCCGGCTTGTCTCCCAAGCTTGTCTCCCTTCGTGATTTCGCTCTTGGCTGCCGCTGCCGCCGTGTTTCCCAAGCTTGTCTCTGTTCCTGATTTCGCTCTTGGCTGCCGCTGCCGCCTTGTCATTTTCTTGCCTGGCTTTGATGCGGATGCTGTTATAAGGTGATTTAGGCCTTGTTTACCTTTTCCATCCTTTTCCCGGCTTTGAGTGAGATGTCTCCCAAGCTTGTCTCCCGCTCTTGCCATGGTGTCCAACTTCTCTTGAAGTGCTATCTGGGGTCTATGCCGGTATAATTTTCTTCTGTATCTCTTTTCGTTGTTTCTGTATCCTTTTGTTCTTTCTTTTTCAGGTTCCTGGTACCTTTCTGCAGTCGGCGCTCCCAAACTGAATTTGGCAGAAACCAAAGCTGATTGCAAGGCTCAGCTACGGGAGGAGCGGCGTTTGCGACAGCTTGCAGAGGCTTGGCTGAGTTGCCACTGTGGATGAGTTGCTGGCGTCTTTGATGACGCTTCCACAAACAACAAATCCTGTCCTCTGAACCTTTTTGAGAAAATCTGGCGTTAAGGGTCGATCATCCAGCACACTCAACAAAGACGACAAGGTACTCCGAGGATCTAACGGATCAAAGCTCAAACAAATCCAAATGTCCAGTTTGTCCAGTTCTAATGCTCCCCTGTCATTCAATCTCCGTGCGTCTCAATCGGTGCTTCAAGTGACAGATTTGCATATATTGCGGTGGCATTTTTGTGGGTTGAGCGGGTAATTAAAAGGGTGGGTAAGCCTTTTGGTGGTATGTTCTTTTGTCGGGAGAATTCTAGTCAAATATTGATTGACCCGTGTCGCAATGCTCGCGATGCTCACACACACACACATATATATATATATATCATTGGCAAATGAAATCCATTCCACTTCATGTACGTACGCAGGCCCTCTAAAGCCAGGCTCAAAAAGGCTCGCATGGTAGCGGAGCCGTGACGGTCATTGCAGTGCGCTCTGACCCGAGCTCCAGAGCCTTTGAGGCCAGGACCCTAGCCTCCTCACGCGCCCAAGTCTCGAGCTGCGCCTTTTGCCTAGCCACCCATACTAGTGTTGCACGATCTCGCAATCGGTGCTTGAGCCTATTCGGTCACCAAGAGCGGAGGACCTCATCGATTACAAGGTTGCCCTTTTGCTGGACTCCAAGAAGGTTGGAAAGGTTTTAGATAAGCTCCTACTTGGTTGAGCCTAAGGGAGTTGAAGTGATCCTGCACGGCAAGGTTGGAGCATGGATGGATCAGGGGGAGTTGGAGTTGATCTCACTAGCTTTCCAGAGCCGACTCAAGCCCTGATTGCAACAGCTCAGGCGGCTACCCAAGCCTTACAGGCGGCTTCAGCGGCATCTTCGACAGGAGGTCAAGCTGGAGGAGAAAGCTCAGAAGCAAGCAAGAAGGATCTGGCCAAACTGATACCCCGTCCAGGGGTGTTCAACCCCTCCGACCGGGAGCAGGAGATCCTACAATGGAGAGACTGGTACTGGTGCCTGAAACAGTATTTGGTGGTGGTCGACAGTGAGTTCCAGTCAGAGTTGGAGAAGATTGAAAAGGATCTCACGGTGGAGACCGAGTGGGACCTCATGGATTCCAAGGAACAGCAGCGGAGCAGGTTCCTGTATTCCTTGCTTGGATCCCTCATCCAAGGCCGGTTGATCGGGCTGATCAAGAATGTGGACAACTTCAACGGGCACGAAGCCCTCCGGCAGCTTCTAGTGAACTGTCAGCCTCAGGCCCGCAATAGGACAATGAGCTTGTTGCAAGGGATCATGGCGTATCCCAACTTCAACATGAAGACCAGCGTCCTCCCGCAGATCCTAAAGTTGGAAGAACACTTCAACCAGTATGAGAAACTTGGAGGAAAGCTGACTCCTGATCTGCGCTCAGCGGTTTTGTTGAGGGTGATCACTGGGCCACTCAAAATCCATTTGAACATGACTTTGAATGAAGGAAGCTCCTACCAGAAGATCAGGGAGGCAGTCCTTGCCTTCGACACGGCGAATACAAAATGGAATGAAAGCGCAGCATTGAGCTTCACTTCAACTACGAGCACAATACCATTCAGTTCAGACCCCAGTGGACTCGCTCCTATGGAGATTGACCGGGTGCAGAAGGGAGATGGCAAGAGTAAAGGCATGAAGGGCAAAGGTGGCAAAGATGGCAAGGGCAAGAGCAAGGGCAAAGAGGATAAAGGCAAAGGCAAGGGGAAAGGGAAACCTTTTGGTGGAAAGCTTGATGGAAAGGGGAAAGCCAGCAAAGAGCAGAAGGGCAAAGGAAAGGGAGTTGGTGACACCTGTTGGACGTGCGGACGCCCGGGACACCACTCGAAGGACTGCTGGCGAGTCAGGCAAGTGGAGGCACCCCCTAGCCAATCAGGAGGGTCATCCAGTCAGGCTACAACCTCTCCATCAACGACTTTGAGCACTACAAGTGGAGGAGAGAGCAGTGTAGCCAAGGCAATTCGACGTGTTTCACAGCCTGTGGTTTTCGACCTTCGAGGAATTGTGGAGGACGAGACAGGCTCAATTCGAGTTTTTGCAATTTGTACTGAGGGCATTGGTTGTGAAAGGAAGAAGGTGGAGTTCTTCAACATGGATGTGGACGACCGCAATGAGTCAATCGAGATGGGAGGATTGTCCATCAAGATGGTTGGACAACGGAGTGAGGAGCTTGAGAGGGAGAATGTCGAGGAAGAGGTCACCATAATCGTGGACTCAGGCGCTGATGCTTCGTTATTCCCTGGCTTCATGCTGAGGAAAGGAGAGCGCATCAGAGGCGGTAGACCTCTCCTACAGGATGCCCAAGGTACTCGGATCAACACCTTTGGGCACAGAGATGTGAGCATCACCCTTCAAGCGGAGGATGACCGAGAAGTCATCTTGAAAGAGCGTGTCACCTTCAGTGACGTGGTGGCACAACCCATCTTGTCATTTGGCCATCTTCTACGAGCAGGATGGTCGATTGATGCGAAGGAGCATTGCATGTACAATGGCAGTGTTCGAGTGCCGCTGACGTTTCAGAATAACAGTCTGGTGGTGAGGGGCTATGTCAGGACCCTCGTGGAAGCTGGATGTGTTCGCACGTTGAAGGCGGTGCTGAGTGACAAGTTGAAGAACATTGTGGATGGTTCCATCGGATGGAGAAAGGTTGGTGACGTGTGGATTGGTTACCACCTGAGTCAGTACTTCCAGAGCCCACAGTACATTCCAGCCTTGAGGGAGCAGCTAGAAGGACTGTGCAGGTCTACCCTGGTTGAGACAGATGGTCTATGGGAGCCAGTCGAGATGACAGAACCTGTGGACGGCCTTGAGGACCAGGAAGCCGAGATTGAAGAGCTGAAGGAGGTTGGAAGATCTCGAGCGCTGAGCTTTGCGGCGCACTACAACGTCCCGCAGAGCCCTGAAACCTTGGCTTTGACATGGGTCCATTTGAGTTTGGTTCACACGGACTCAAGGCTGCAGCGCATGAGGATTTGGCCCTACCAGAGGCCGACGATGAGGACGATGGCTTTGAAGGTGCAGAGGTTCCTATGGCCATTGGAGAATTTGAAGGTGGAGCTGATCTTGATGATCAGGAAGTGAGGTTTGAGGTCGGCATCCCAATTCCCGACCGAATTCGAGTCAATGACATTGAGCTCACAAGCGAAAGCCCGCTGAGAGCACTTCGAGAAAGATTGGGCAAAGTGGAGGAAAGGCAAGATGCTTCAAGAGACTGGTTGAACATCAAGGTACTTTAGAGTTGATGAGAGCTAGAGATCTGACCAGAAGTGCGGAAGCAGCTCTAGCCAGGAAGCCCATCGAGCAGACGATCGCCAAGACTCCAAGCAAGGAGGAGCAAAGGCTACATGATCTCACACATCTTCCATACGCCGCTTGGTGTGAGAGCTGCGTGAAACATCGAGCGCGGCCAGACCAGCGCAGGAGATCGGGTCAAGCCCGGGAAGCAGGGCCAGCTATCTCGTTCGACTTTGCGTTCACGCATGCCAGCGGGATCGGGCCACTAGGATCACCAGAAGATGATGATGGTGCTCAGATGGGTGTGGCGGATGATGAATCAGGTGCACTATGGCTGATTGCGGTCTGTGCAGAAACAGGATATGTGTTGGGTTTGCCCTTGAAAGCAAAGTCCCAATTGAATCTCATTGCTCACGAGTCGCTCTCCTTCACTCAGGTTCTCGGCCATGAGGAGGTCACCTACTACTCTGACAATGAGCCGACACTGAGACAGGTGTCCCGCCTCTTGGTCCAAGCGAGAGGAGCAATGGGATTGAAGACGAAGATGAGGACAACCAAGATCTATGACCACGCAGGCAATTCCCTGGTTGAGAATGCCATCCAAAGAGTTCGCTCAGTGGCAGCAACTTTGATGGAGAATGTCGCCAAACACACAGGACTACGCTTCAATGGTCAACATCCTGTGTGGACTTGGGCATGTCGACGCAGTGCATGGCTTCTCAACAGATACCAACCAGTGCAAGGAGCAACAAGCTACGAGCTGGTACATGGGAGACCTTACAAGGGAAAGCTTTGCCAGTATGGGGAGGTTGTCTTCGCCTACACGAAACCAAAACAGGGATTCAAGGCGGACCCACGCTGGAAGGTTGGCATTTGCTTGGGAAAAAGTGAACTCCAAGATGCCTGGGTCATTGGTGATGGGTCAAGAGTTTTCTTGAGCAAGTCAGTCCGACGGGTTGAAGATTCCTGGCAACGATATCTCCCATGTTTCAAAGGCTTTGCAGCTTACAGCTGGGAATACCAGACGAACTTTGGTGGAAGGATTGTACCATCAAAGAGACTGGTTGTGCTTGAAGGACCAGAGGTGGGTCTTATGCTTCCTGGAGTTCAAGATATACTAGAAGGAGACCAAGAAGCTCAGGAGGTGCTCGCCTATGCAAGGTCCTATGCAGGAAAGCTGGAAGCACAGCGAGAAGCAGAGGAGAAGGAAGAGAAAGCCAGCAGGGAGATGGTTGAGCAGGAGGAGACCTTGAAGTTAGCTGAAGACAAGAGGAAAAGCGTGGTGGAAGATCAGGAGTTGAGTCTTCCAATGGTGATGGCACCAAGTGTGGACATTCCTCATGCTTCAGTGGTGGATGAGGAGAAGAATCAGTTAGGACCGTCAAGACCAAGTGCGTTCTCGCTGCTGGACTCCCCATCGACGCCAAGGTCTGCAGCTCAGAAGGTTGGACAGCCGGCAGAAAGCTCTATTCCGGAAGCCAAGAAGCTCAAGCCAACAATAGAGAAGTTGACTCCTGAACATGAGGGGGTAGATCCAGATCCGAAGAGGGCAAAACAAGATCCAACAATCCAACATGAGAGAAGGGTGACTGCTACGCAGGTTGGAAACGATGTCTTCTACCATATGGACTCCATCATTGGTGAGGAGGAGTTGGTAGCATGGCAAGATGAGACTGATGATCAGGCCATGGATGAACTGCCTGATGAGTTGTGGTCCAAAGAATGCCCCTTTGGACAGGGTACCTCCAGAACCACCAGTGGATTGAGGACATAGCTGATGCTGTGGAAGAAACAAGACTTCAGAAGCTTGGAGTGTTGAGCCGAATGGACAAGTTGATGGCCAGTCACAAGACGCTGACAACCCGGTTTGTGAGAGACTGGAGAGCCAAGCATCGGGACAAAGAAGGAAGTGGTCCAAAACAGTGGTTGAGAAGATCGAGGCTGGTGGCACGTGAATATGCAACGGACAAGAGGGATGACATCCATGCCCCGGCTACAGGTGGACAGGCTTTACGATTGCTTCCTCTCATGTACCTTGGGAAGAAAGCAGAAGAGACTATGGGAGGAGAAAAGACCATCCTTGGAAGCCTGGACGTGAAAGATGCATTCCTACAGGTTAAGCAGGAAGTCCCAACACAGGTCACCACGGCCACGGGACACTTTGAAGTCCTCAGAAATCTTCCGGACAAAGAATTGGTGCCAAGGCTTGGTTCGACCACTTGACTGAATGGCTGAAGGGCAAGGACTTCAAGTTTTGCCCAGAAAATCCATGTCTTGGCAAAGCGCCGTCCATGTGCGTTCTCATCCATGTCGACGACATCATGTTTGTCGGCAGCAAGGAGTATGTGCTGCGTGAGTTCATTCCCGAAATGAAGAAGGTTTTTGACATTTCGGAACAGCATCTTGAAGAGGATGGCAGCAGCTTTCAGTTCTTGAGAAGGACCTATGAGAAGGTAGAGAATGGCCTGAAAGTTCATCCCGGGAAGTATGCCGAGAACATGGTGGAGGCCTATGAGAGCAAGATGGGGAAGGCAAAGATCCAGAAGCTTCCCTGCGGTCCCGAAATCCTTGAACCAGATGGGACAACACTCCTGGGCTATGAGCTTGCAAGTCTCTATCGATCCTTGGTAGGCTGTGGCATCTACCTGTCTCAGGAGCGATTGGATGTTTCCTATACGGTGAAGGAGTTAGCGTCCACGATGTCCTGTCCAACAGCCGCAAGTTTGAGGAAGCTTGGTAAGCTGATAGGGTACCTGAAGCATACAATGGGGCAACACAGTTTACTGGAGTTGAATGAACCAGGACACGGACTGGTGCACCAAAGCTTCGAGACACGTTGGATTTTGGAGACATTTTCCGATAGCGATTGGTCTGGAGCAAAAGGGCATCGACGTTCAACGAGCTCAGCAATCCACATGGTCAATGGAGTGGTGGTAGCTTCTTCTTCACGTGGACAGAAGTCAGTTAGCCTGAGCTCAGCAGAAGCAGAGTTAAACGCCTTGGTGAGCAGCGCAGCAGATGGCATATACCTACGGAGGTGTTTGAGCTTCTTGATAGAAGAGGAGGTGGAACACTGCTGCATGGTTGACAATTCAGCTGCTCTACATCTCTGTCATCGGAAAGGGCCAGGCAAACTACGCCATGTTTCTGGCAAACTCTTGTGGATACAGGGTGCTGTACTACAGGAACAACTTAAGGTGATGCCAGTCGGAACGGCGAAGAATGTGGCTGACTTGGGCACAAAACCCCTATCAAAGAATCGCGTCAATCTGCTCCTGAACTGGTGTGGTGTATACAATGGGCAAGGAGAAAGAATTGGCCAAGACGAGCGTGTGAGAAATGAAAATGAGGAGTTCAGCAAGTCAAGGATCAACAGGCTGGCCAAGTTGCTCAATCGCATTTTGCTTTTGGAGGGTCTTGGGCAAGTGGCTGGAGAAGTGGCAGAGTCAGAAGCCCAATGTGTCACAACACCAACAACGGCGACGAGTTCCACTACATGGTGGGCTATGTGGGTGATCATGATCTTCCTGGTGATGATTGTTGGCGGCTTAGCCTTTGCAGGCTACAAAATGTGGCAGAGACTTCAAAGGGTCTTGGAAGATCTTGAAGAAATGAAAGAAGCCCAAAGAGTAGATGGGATGATGATTGATGCCTTCGAGCATGAGAGAAAGGAGGAAACAGCAGTTCTGGGAAGCCTGATTCAGAAAATTCACCGCGGCCTAGTCAAGGCCAATGGGTATGTGGATGAAGCGGAGTTCGAAGATGGAGAATGGCAGCACTGGGACTACATCCAGAAGTCCAATCGAAAGCTTGATTTCCTGAAGCTTAAGCAGGAAGCCAAATCCTATTTGCTTCAGGAGCTCGACAGGAAGCAAGCCGAAACTTCAGGAGAGCAGACGGATGTTGCCATGTCAGAAGAAGAAGATCTCCAGCTAGGTGACACTGCAACAGTGCGACTGGAGAGTGGAGAAGTTGTGAGCATCCCTATGGAGTACCTTGAACCTCGAGAACCAGAAAGTGAAGCAGAAGAAGATGCAAGCATGAATGCTCGTGAGCGAAGTGAGAAGCGAACGGTTGATGGAGTGATGCATGACAGGTCGATGACCTACGATGCCAAAAAGGCATGCATTTTGAGTTTCACCTTTCAAGAGCTGGGAGATTTGAATTCACCAGCCGGAAGGTCAGGAATGAGGGCAAAGAAGCATTTACAAGCCCTAGAGGCAAGATGGTGGGACAACCAGGAAGGGAAAAGAAACGTTGAAGACCCGAAGATCTTTAAGGAGATGGAGAAGCACTCTCCCTTCCTGGACAGCCCATCACTCAATTTCTGAAGTGGGGCGCTAGGCACGAAAAGGCTTACCCTAGCACCCCAAGGAGGAGTGGCAAATGAAATCCATTCCACTTCGCGTACGTACGCAGGCCCTCTAAAGCCAGGCTCAAAAAGGCTCGCAATAATATATACATACAAAATCGTTTTCAGCAAACATGATCTTTCCCAATCTCAGATGTCACTGTAGCTAATGCTGATCCAGCGAGGTGTGGAACACCAGCTTTGCCAGACATTAGTTGAGAAGGAAACACATTAAATTGAAAGAGCAAACAAAACGTATCATGAAGGTTGCCCTTCAGTTTGGCTATCATCACCAGGAGTACCAGCCACCCAAAGCTCACTATAAACCCCAAACTGCGAGTTTCCTTCAGAAACGCACTTCGCCGGAGCTGAAGGATTCCCGCAGGATGGCCAGCAAAACAGATTCCACGCATGAATTTCAGCATTTCGAACTTGTGCTCCGAACAGGAGCCCCTAGTAGCGTTCTTACTACTAGGAGCAATTTGAAAGAGCGCCCCAAACAAGCGAATTTAGGGACGGCGCTCACCGCCGAACCATCAGTGAACCATGAATGATCAACCATGCCTTGAAACTCTTCATAGAACATTCTGTTTAGATGCCATTGTTTTGCTTGGCCCCTGTGTTGAGTCGCATGCAGACAGCCTTCCGACACAAAGAACACAGAAAAACGGAACCATCGCATCTAGTGCTGCGAACTACAAAGTGACTTGTGACCCTGCTTGGGCGCAATTGGCGCTTGAGCAAACTTGGGCTCGGCCCTGTGGATCGCCGGCAACCAAACAAACATCTAACGCGACATGAGAACATGCCCTCAAAATTGGTTCTTTGGGGCTTCGAAGAGAACTGGCCCATTGTCTTCGAAGGTGGCCGGGTTGGATTTGAAGATCCATATCGTTGAATGATTGAACACAACATGGCAGGCGAGATGTCGACAGTCTGGCGATGAGCAAGATCCAGAGGTTGGACAAGGGGAAGGTACTTGTACCTTAGTTCATAGGTCATAGATGCTTGAACTTCCAGCCAAGATTGAATTGCGCACGATGTGAATGAAGGTGGCTGAGATGTGGGTTGTAGAAGGGGTCTTTGAGTCGAGCGATTCGCCAGGGTTCCTGGATGTCTTGGAGACAAGAACGTGTTGGGTAACGTTCAGCCAAGAAGCGGGTTCTAGAAGCAGAATGGGCCGCAATGGGCAGGCGACTCCACTCGACAAGGGCAAGGCGTGCTGAAGCGAGCCCACTTCCCACATCAGGTCAAACATACCTGCAACATTGGTGTGACGGTCTTGTGCAACCTGAAAGGCCTTGCTTTCACTTGGCTCTGGACCTCTTGCGATCTCGTTCTGTACGACCAGAAAGACTAAAGATAAAACACAGTTGAATTCTCTAAGGGTTGAGAGGGCACTGAGTTGTTGTTTCCTTTTTTCAGGTGGATGATCTCCTCATGTCCTTGGAAGCCGAACGGAAGGAGGCGAGGACCAGCGGTTTAAAAGGGCAGAGGCTCTGCACACATTGAACAAGAGCTTGAACGACACAGGAAATTGTAACCTAACAAACCTGCACTCTTCACTTGGTGAATAGAACAACTCCCCACAACTTGTGATGATGGAAAACCGAAGAAGAAACTTTACAAGAAAAGACACCTCCCAGCGGCAAGATGATTTTGCAGCAGTTCAGTCCATCATTGTCGATGGTCTTTGAGTCTTGTGCTAGACTGTGGTGAGTTAGGGGGTGTCAGCATTCAGATACCACCTGCAGGTGATCCTGTTGAGCTATAGACCGCAAAGGTATGTTTGCGCTTTTGGATCACTGTTGCTCCGCACACTCTCAAGAGTAGGTACGAATGGTGTTGTGAAAAGATGGATGTCACACAGTTGTGTGAGATGGCGGGAGTCTGTAATGAGTTTTTGGCCTTAAGATTTCAGGTTGCAAGGCTTCGGGAGAAGCTCTCTGAGGCAGAGCAAACGCTGGGGCGCAAGTTCTTGGACTGAGAGCAGTTTTGCACAGAGGACTTGGCTCTCGACAGAACTGTCAGAACGCTGCCCAGTGAACACATGAACTCGGGACAGCTGGATACCCTGTAGGGTTCGGCTGTCATTGTTCATTCGGTTGCTGCTCGTGGAGATATCGCGGGTGACAAAGGCCACATTATAGAAAGCCGTGTCCGGTAGCGTCCTGTGGCTATTCAATTCTTGAATTCCATATCAGCTATGCAGCTATTCAATTCTTGAATTCCATATCATGCCCTCCTTTCTCTCCCTTTTGGTTTGTTTGGGATACAAAAGGCGAGCGGCGATGTAGTTTGCATTGCGAGTGTTCTCATGTCCAAGGATTGGGCAGTTGGTGGTACAAAGCATCGAAGCGCCGTCTGCAAAGGTGCGAAACTAGCCCTGGAACTTCGAAGTGGTACCTGACGACAATGTGTTGTTTGTCTACCGAAACATTGGTGGGTGTCCAGGCACCTTGTGTTTGGGTGTGTGTGTGTGTGTCAACCCCCGTATCCAGGGGCACTGAATTTTCATTGTGCAGTTTCCACGCAGGGGGACGGGACACCACTGGCATTTCCCGTCCAACGAAGAGGATGCCAGTAGGTGCTGATGCAGTGGGCCTGTTCCAAACTGTTGACCACGCTAGCGCCATGAAACTCTTCCTCTATCTCCCAACCGCTCAATTCACCAACAGCCGCGCAACCGACCGCCCTTCCTTCGAACCGGGGACATGTCAGTCTGACCGCTGTCACTCCGGTTCGATGGGGCAACAAAGAACAATGGCCTACAACCTTTCCCCTTCCATACACCAGGCTCTACACCCTACGTGCCTGGGCCTTTCGCTGATTGATTTTCACACATCATCGCCGACCACCAACTTCTCGTGCCACACACCGCAAACAGATCTCCCTCCTCGCCTCTCGCGTCTTCACTCTCCTCTCTCCCCTCTCCTTGACAACAAGCAGCCGACTTCCTTCGAATCGGGGACATGTCAGTCTGACCACGGTTACTCCGGTTCGATGTAATCAAACCCAACCAAACCAGCAGCCGTGCTACTGCATCCACCACACCGCTCCACAGCCATCAATTACACAGCTCCTTCTCCACACCCCAGACTGTGGCGCAATATGAGACACTTTCCACAAACGCAGAAAACGCCTAGCAAGCAAGCAAGCAATCTAATATTTCATTGACGTTTGCAGACGTCAGGTCCTATTTCTGGCAACATCACCAGCTCCACTGCAATTGGCAACCTACACCACCACCACCACCACGACCAGCGCCACCACAACCACTACCTGCTTTGCTACCTCATCCACCACAAGCTCCAGCCATGTCACCGCCACGCCCTTTCAACATGCACTTCCACAAGCCTACGTGCCTCCCCACTTCCACTTCCCACACTGCAAGCCAGTAGCCAACCAAGCAAGAAAGCAAGCCAGCCAGCCAGCAAGCAAGCTATTGACTGCCAACCCTCTCTCCAGAAGCGCCGACTCCACGCGGGATCTTGATCAACTTGGCGAGGAGGTAGATGCCGTGCAGGTGGGTTTGATGGCTGCTTAAGTGGCTGCTTAGGTCGTGTGGGGGTATGTCGGTGGTGGCGGTTGTGATGGTTTGGTGGATGGTGATGTCTTGGATCAGGTTCTCGGTGGTGCTGGTACCGGTGGTGTCTTTGGTGGTGGCGGTGGTGATTGTGTAGGGGTTGGTGGTGGTGGAAGTGGTGAAGTAATTGGTGGAGGAGGGTGGTGTGAGGTTGTGGGCATACTGTCTGTGTGTGTCAACCCCCATATCCAGGGGCGCTGAATTTTCATTGTGCAGTTTCCACGCAGGGGCGAGCCGCCGGGCTCATACCGCAATCCTTTGATTAGGTTCAGTAAAGCGGATAATGCGCAGGGACTGCAGACTTGCGCCAAACAAGTGTTCAAACACCTTCAAGTCTTCCGACCTTTCGCCTTTCGGTTCGCTCTTTCTTTTCCTCGGAATTTTTTGCACGCGGAAATTCAAGAGTGCAGGGGTCTCACTCCCTAATTGGCCGTTCATTCGGCACTTTTGCTCGACAGATGTGCACGGGGCTACACCTATCTTTCTCTCTTGCCCTCTTCTGTTTGCTCTTTCTGTCTTTCGTTCTTCTCTTTTCTAAGGCTTTTTAGGTTGCTATTCAAGTCTTTTGACACCGTCGCCTGCCGTTTACCTGCGCTGAGCTGCCGCGCTGCCGAGCCGCTGCGCGCTTACACGACCTCCCCACCAACCACCACTGCCAACACAGCAGCATCATCCTCCCAGCGCCGTGAAACTCTTCCGCTATCTCCCAACCGCTCAATTCACCAACGGCCGCGCAACCGACCGCCCTTCCTTCGAACCGGGGACATGTCAGTCTGACCGCTGTTACTCCGGTTCGATGGGGCAACAAAGAACAATGGCCTACAACCTTTCCCCTTCCATACGCCAGGCTCTACACCCTACGTGCCTGGGCCTTTCGCTGATTGATTTTCACACATCATCGCCGACCACCAACTTCTCCAGGCACACACCGCAATCAGATCTCCCTCCTCGCCTCTCGCATCTTCACTCTCCTCTCTCCCCTCTCCTTGACAACAAGCAGCCGACTTCCTTCGAATCGGGGACATGTCTGACCACGGTTACTCCGGTTCGATGTAATCAAACCCAACCAAACCAGCAGCCGTGCTACTGCATCCACCACACCGCTCCACAGCCATCAATTACACAGCTCCTTCTCCACACCCCAGACTGTGGCGCAATATGAGACACTTTCCACAAACACAGAAAAGCAAGCAAGCAAGCAAGCAATCTAATAATTCATTGACGTTTACAGACGTCAGGTCCTATTTCTGGCAACATCACCAGCTCCACTGCAATTGGCAACTTACACCACCACCACCACCACCACGACCACCACCACCTCCACAACCACTACCTGCTTTACTACCTCATCCACCACAAGCTCCAGCCATGTCACCGCCACGCCCTTTCAACATGCACTCCCACAAGCCTACATGCCTCCCCACTTCACCCACTTCCCGCACTGCAAGCCAGTGGCCAAGCAAGCAAGAAAGCAAGCCAGCCAGCCAGCAAGCAAGCTATTAACCGCCAAGCCTCTCTGCAGAAGCGCCGACTCACGGCATACTGTGTGTGTCAACCCCCATATCCAGGGGCACTGAATTTTCATTGTGCAGTTTCCACGCAGGGGGACGGGACACCACTGGCATTTCCCGTCCAACGAAGAGGATGCCAGTAGGTGCTGATGCAGTGGGGGACGCCCCACTGTGTACCTGTTCCAAACTGTTGACCACGCTGTGACCCTAATCTTCCTTGGTTTGCTCCATGGTGGTTTGCGCGATACTCCCCCAAACCTTTCTCTAGCTGATGAGCCGATTTCCACTGTTGTCCAGCTGCAGTCATGCAAAAAAACTTTGTTCAACATTCCAAGTGCGCTGACCCTTCCACCTTTCCGTTCCATCGCCATTTTTCCGGGGAATTGAGTTAACTGAAAACCAATGTTAGAGAAACCAATGTTAGAGTGTGTCAACCCCTGTTCCAAAGGGTACCGTGTACCTTGATGTTTCCATCGCGCAAGCAGGGGGATGGAGAGGACATGTGAGGCTCCATCCAACGAAGCTCCTCACATGATCCTAGGATATCGGCAAGGACGCTTGCCGACGTACCTGCTGACGAAACTTTTGCAGCACAAGCTGTGACTCCACTGTTCTCGGTTTGATTCATGGTTCTTTCTCACGATGCCTCCCCCAAAACCCTTTTCTCTGCGCTGAGTTCACCGCGGCCGAGTGCATTAAACTTTGTTCAACAATACAATTGCGCCGACTTTTTCACCTTGCGTTTCCATCACCTTCCTTCTCACCGTGGGAATTGAGTTAACAGCAAACCAATGTCAGAGTGTGAACCGCTCAGCCGTCCCACTTGGGTGCTGGGTGTGATCCTCCGCAAGGAGGCGCTGTTTTCAGACCGGAAATCGTTTTCCTGATTTATCGCCGTCTCATCGTGGATCACTGTCATTTCTTCCATGCCAATACTGAATTAACTGGATTGACATCCGCCGGGCTTTTCTACGCATTTTTAGAATTTGCACTTTCAGATCTTTGCATTTTCGGATTTCATGGCTGACATGCGTGAAAGATTTACGTCTTCGAATTCATTGCAGCTGCACTTTCGAGTTCACAGAGGTACCAGAACATTTCACCTTCCACCACGTACGAGACATGACATTTCACATTCTACCATGCATCACCTGTTTCAAGCTTTTCATCTTCCATCTCGTTTTCATGCTTGACATTTACCCCTTCACCATTTCATGATTTCATTCCACGGGTACAAGTAGCAGAGACTTTCAGCAGCTGCCGCGCCACGCTGGTGCCATTGAGCAGCCGTCACCTTTGAAGCTATAGCATTTTGACTGGAACCTCGACTATCACCAACATTGAGCCAATGCAGTATCCATGGCCATACCCATACTGGACTCAGCAACCACCACCTACCGCAGCCCACACTTTTCCATCCCACCGACGCAACCTCACATGCCTCCCACGATTCCACACATACCACCGACTTTGCCTCATATACACCTAGTACCTCAGATACCGCATCACCATACGATTCCACTCTCCTACTCACTGCCTCCGCCAGAACCTTCGCCGTCGCAATCTTCTGCCATGCTTTCCCCGCAACCACAACCACCACCAGTACCTCACGTACAACCACCTCCACCCCAAGCCTGCCAGCCGGCAACCATTTTCGGTTTTTCCGCCAGTCGCTCAACCGGGTCATGTTCCACCAGGCCCAACTCAACCAAGCCAGACCTCTGCAGTCGCCGCTTCATCTCCTCCTGACCCTTTGCCTGCTGCAGCGCCAGCGTCACTTCCCGCCGCAGCCACTCCTGGCCCCCAATCGCCAACCTCTACGGCGCCCTCAACACAAGCAGACCGCCCTGGCACTGAGCAAACCTCTTCAAATCCTCTTTCACACCCACCACCACCTTCTGCCGCAGCAGCCTCCAATCCATCCGACGATCCTCTCGGCACACACATCCCCAAACCACCACCAGCTCACCCACAGACCACCGCCACACACCCACTTCCAGCATCCATCGCTCCCAGTCACCAAAGCAGCAGCCACCGCCGCCCTCATCGTCGCCGCCATCGCCATCACACTCGGGGCAGGCGCACTCGTCGCCGCCGCACCACACGCTCAACCACCCAGCAGGATGCCTCTCACGGACATCAATCAACACGACACCACCGCCCGCGTTCACCTTCTTCTACCTACTCCACCTACTCCTACAGCCGCTCACGCAGTCGCTCCAGGCCACCCATTTCTCTTCTACCCAACAACGACTCAATACAACAAGATGCTGTC